AGCCTGTCAGGTTTCATCACAGGTTTTGCCAAAACCAAAGAATATTATGTTTCTGGCTTTCCTTTTTAAAATCTGCCAGTAAGCTTATCAAGAAAAAAGGAAAAGTTAATGTGTCATTAATGTTTTATTTTAACGTTATGCTGACCTCTAATATCCATTTAGCTTTTCTAAATGTTTGTTTATTTAAAAAGTCAATTCTAGGATATTGCCAAGAATTTGGTGATGCAGTTATGATCAGAATTATTTTCCCTAAATGTTTCTATCAGCAGCCCATTAGAAAAATTGGCAAAATGTACATACAAACTGCTAATTTGCAAAACAGGAAATAAAGAACACATGTATGAAAATATTCTCAACCTTACTCATCAGAAGAGAAATGTAAATCAAAACTATAATGGGATTTTTTTTTTAACCTCTCACATTTGTAGAGATCAAAAATTTTAACATTAAAAAAAAACTAGTCATTGGTAAAATTGTTATTCTCTGTGCTAGGCACTCTGAATTATTTTTTAAGTTTAACACTTTGGTAGAAATGTGTAAACTCTGATACATATTATGAGTGTGAATCACAAAGCCTTTACTAAAGGCGATTTGGCAATAACTATAAAAATTTTTTTATTTGTGTACATTTTAGCACAGCAGTTTCATTTCCAGGAAATTATCCTATGGATATATTCACACATAATAACATATGAGGACATTCTTAGTAATGTCTGTATTTATGATAAGACTGAAATCACCTAAATGCCCATAAATAAGGAACTGGTTAAATTATAAGTCAGCCATTACAGTGGAACTCTATGCTGTCATTAAAAAGAATGAGGAAGCTCTATGGGTACTAATAGGAAAAGAGTACCAGGGTACCGTAAGTTGAAAAAAAAAGGGGTCAGGGGTATAGAATAGCATGCTATCAGTTGCGCTTAAAACACACACACACCCGTATGCACTCAGATTCCCTGGAAGGATACACCGGCGCTGGGAACAGTAGGTGCCTCTGGAGAGAGACAGGGCGACCATGAAACAGGGGTGGGCACGAGGGAGATTTGTTTTTCCATTTGTCTTGTTGTGCTTCTTGTACCTATTCAGGAATAAATATGTCAATAGATAAACACAATGTAAAGTTTCCAGTTAAAGATACACTTACATCAGAATTGTAAATGAAAGACCATCCTTCCTGACTTAGAAGAATCTAGTTTGCTCCCAAACTAGGTTGAGTTTACTTTGCTAGGGAGCGGCCAAGAGGTCTTGGAGAGGTCCTGATTTCCATCAGCAGCTCCTCACCGTGTGCACCCCGAGCTGCTTCCTGCTCTCGGTTACTCTGATGATCATCTCTGTTTGCTGCGTGGCTGCTGGCCAGTGGTCCCCAGGGTCCTGCTCTGTCCCTGCAGCCCATCGCTCTGCTTTCCAAGTGCTGCCCCTCCTGCCCACCGGCCACAGTGTCACCAGGCAGGCAGCATACTGAAAACAAGTCTGAGGCTACAGATCTTGGCAAGTCCAGGGGCAGCCTAGTTTTCAGCACAGGGTTTCGGTGTCACTCTGCTTGCACAGACCTGAGCTTAATCATGACCATCCGATTTCCAGGATTTTATTTTCTGATGAATCATACGCTGTCTTCAAGTCACTTCTTCACCTTTGTTGGGCAAGACTGTGGTTTCCAGAAATGATAATCAGGGAGTTTTTTAAATGATAGTGGATGTAAAACTATCTCACTGGTACTACCATAAAGGAATTTAGTGACCTTTTTTATGCCCAAGCTTAGACTAATTTAACTTGAAGGGAGACAAACACGGGTTTATCACTGTAATCAGGAAGGAACACAGCTTCCTGGACTGAACCAAAGTGAGGCGCTTGTTTGCATTTATCTGAGATAACAGCATAATCCTTCACCTGAGACAGAACCCAATCATCACTTAGATGTGATGGTGCCTGAGTCCAACACAGCCTCAGCAGGAGAGGCAAAGGGCCTGGGAGATAGACACGACAGGAGAGAGGTGTTGAGTTTACTCTAAACTAAGAGAGAGACTTTCCAGGAGGAATAATAGTGGACTCCACATAAAAATTCTAATTCTGAAACAGGTGGGAGGGGGATCGGGATGGGGAACACATGTAAATCCATGGCTGATTCATGTCAATGTATGGCAAAAACCACTACAATATTGTAAAGTAACTAGCCTCCAGCTAATAAAAATAAATGAAAGAAAAAAATTCTAATTGTGAAGTCTGAATCAACTCATCACCAAACTAATGAGGTCTAGGAAGAAAGGAATATCAGACTGCTGATAGGGATTATCAGCCTGTTTTTTTAATTTATATAGATTGTGTAACTGTGTGTGGCAGTGTCTTATTGAAACCATCACTTCCTAGCTGGTAATACATATGCTGCTGCCTAGCAGGTAAAGTCAGGCTTGGTTAGTATAAGTGTGTCTGCCTTATCTCCCAAGCATTGCCACCCTTGTCTATTGATGGCAATTGCTCAGAAACACCCTACTGAGAAGCTTTCAGGACCCATAACTGATGAAGATGGATCCCCTGTTCCCAGCATCTTCTCCCGCTTCTGTGCTTCCTTAAAACTGAAACTCATTTATCCGTCTCACACCGCTTGCTCTGAATATCCTGCTGGGCCAGCAGGGACCTATAAACAAGCTTTTGTTGAGAGAAAAGGATCGTTGACTTGGCTTTTTTTTTTTTTAGTTAATTCTTATAGTCAGTGTCCTTGAAAGAACCTTATCTTCTTGTGTCTAGTTTGTTTGTTTTGTTTTGTTTTTTTAAACTGATTTCCTTGTTATCATGACTTCAGTGAGACCTGTTATTTCATCTCCCTTGTCAGTGAGAGTTCAGCTTTGCTGACTAACTTTACAGTGACCGAGAAGCCCTGAGGAAGTGGTTTCTTTCTTTCCCTGCACCCTCCTCACTCAAGCACAGGCAAGTCTCTGCTTTTCAGATTTTAGCAGTTAGAGTCTGCTGCTGACAAGATGACCTCTGGGATAAGGGGTGCCTCCAAGAGTCATCTCACCAGTGTTAGGAATTAGCTTGCTTGAGTTTCCTTAGCCTCTCTGAGTAAACAAAAACCCCAAATTGGATTGGCCCGTAGGTGAATTGCATTTCCGCTTTAGACATTACAGAATCAATCATTGTCAATCCCATGTCGATCAACACCAGCAAGTGACCACAGTAAGCAAAGTGCTGAATTGAGTGTAGTGGAAAAAAACAGAAGTTCCCTGCTTTTAAGGAACTCCGTCTTGTAGTTGGATTGATAAGCCAGTTGGGAGAAAAAAGTTAACAGTCCACGGCGTGAATCATGGAGGGGTCCGGTGAGTTATAGAGACAGCAACGGCAAAGCTGGGGCGACTGGGCTGGGAGGTTCTGGGGAGTTTGTGTGGCTGAGGAGGGCCTTCCTGGGAGGACCAGTGCTGGAGACCAGGCGGCAGGTTAGGGAGAAGGGTGGAGGCTCTCTCTATAGAAGCCGTTTTAACCTATGCATACCTGGATGTTCTGTCATTGACAGGCAAGGCTTGAGTGGGCTGGCCTGGAGGCAGGGTCTCTAATTCTGTCAGAGCTAAGCTAGGGGCCCTGCATCAGAGGCACCCACTTGGTGAAAGCTGAGGGCCCTGCACTGCACTCAAGTTCCTGGTCAGGATAGGTGGGGCAAGGAGGGGCTGACATCCGGCCACCTTGCTTCCTCCACACCTTGGCCCTGGGCTCTTTCTGCCCAGAGCGAGGGGCACCGTTTCTCTGGCTGGCCATGTGTCCACAGGGCTACAGTCAGACAGACAGCACCTTTTCATGGGTGCCTTTGACAGGGCATGGCTCTTTCTGCGTCCTCAAAGGTGCTATGCAGGATGGGCCTCAATCTGACCCTTCAGAGAACTTGGTAAATATTTGAAGGAATGCTGAAGTGGATTATTGAATTCCACACGCACTTTGTCTCCCTACTTAAAGAGGGACTCTCGACTGGATTTCTTTTTCTTTTTTTGGTTTATTCAATTTACTTCACTAGGTTGTGGGAACTTTTTTCCTGTGTCTGCCGCACTGGCCCTCCTGCATCCATTAACGGTTCAGCATGCCGCCCTCTGACTTACTGTCCCCTCTTCTCGCTCTTTCACCGAGGTCGGATCTAGTTTTCCAAAAGCCAGTTAAGCATGATTACATACCAGCATTATCCTAGACCCTGAGGTCAGTATAAAGATCAGTGGGATTTTTCCCCCCAGCCTGGGGGTCCCACATCACAGAACTAGTAAGAGGGTTCAGAGGATAGATAGGTGGTTGAGGGGATGGACAAATGCGAAGAGAGAAAATTTGAGAACGGCCTTCTATACAAAGGTCTCTCAGATGGACAGGCCTGAGTTTGAATCCCAACTCAGACAGGTGCCAGTTCTGTGAACTGGGGCGAGTAATTCACCATGTAAGAGCCTCAGTTTCTTCCTCGGTGAAATGTGGGTAGTAATTCCCACCTAGCCTAGGTGGTGGGGCCGATTAGAGATTGTAATTGCTGAGAGAGGCAGTTGGTGAAATTAGCAACTACCCAAGTCAAGGCCTATAGGACTACAACAAAAGGTGATAAGTGACGTAAGCGCAAACAAAACAGGTGGGGGCTCCCTGGGGGACGGCTCACACCTGGCTGGAGGCCACACGTGAGCAGGCTCTGGAGGCCCTCCCAGCCTCCAGGTGATCTGCCACCTGCGTGCTGGGCAGGGCCAGGCCGGGCAGTGTAGGGCTCATGGGCCACAGACCCGGGAGCCAGCAAGTCCCTGCAAAGTCAGACCTTTACCTGCACATAAACCTACAGGTGTATCTGAAGCCGGCATGACCCGGGGCTCCTCCTCCTCTGGCACCAGCAGAGGGGCCAGAATGGAGGGATGGGAAGGGCACAGCTGTCCCTGTTGACTTCAGCCTGTTGCAGGATTGAAGGTCATTCCACTCTCAGAAAAGTGAGGTCACGTCATCGTCTTTCCATCCTCCCCACCCTGGATGTCTAAGGTGAAGCGTTTTCTCTTCCCCAGCTCAGAGGCTGAGAATGGTGTGGAGGAGAAGAAGAAGGTATGCAGGTCGCCAGCAGCACTGTCTCCCACCCCGTCCAGCGAGGCCGAGTCCCAGGACCAGAAGAGAACCATTTCCATGCGGTGAGTCCTCACATGACTCTCTACTTTTTTGGGGCTTTTCAGGGGGAGGGGGGTGTTGGAAAGAGCTGGTGTTTCTAGTTTTATGGTGGTGGCTAAGACAGAAGCTCTCCTGCAGGCAGGGGATACCCTTGAGAAAGAAGTGAGGCGTTTTTCCTTCACATCCAGGCACTGGCACCTGCTTTCTCTCTGGGCTCTTCCTAACAGTCTCTTCTCTTTCCCGCCCCAGTCTTCTGCAAACTTTCTGCCCCTTTCTTAAGCACTGATTTTGCTACGTGATAAAGCCTGGGTGGCCCCCTCTCCGGCACAGAGGTAGAGAGCACCTGGGAAGACTGGCAGGGCCACTGATGAGGCCACCCGGCTGGCTTGTGTGCTCAGCCATGGGCGTGCACACCTGCCGTCTCACTTTCCTGGCGGCCACAGGAGAGGGAGGAGGGAAGAAAAGCTTGCCGGGGATCCCTGGCCAGACACTGCCCGTGCTGGAGACCAGGCTTAGTCTGCTCGTGGGCTGTGAGGAGAGAGGAGGTTGGAGACGTGGACCTCTGCTCCCCATCACTCTCAAGAGCACCAATCATGTGCTTTTTTCCACATGGAAGGAAGAAGTAGGAGTTTCAAGTTGCTTTTCTGCCCTTAAAGGAGAATGGTTAAGCCAACAATCAATCACAAGTAACTCTGGCTGTTCATCTACACTGAGTGGACTGACAGCTCGCTTCCCCTCATTAGAACTGTCAGAACTGCTGCCTTCTCCGTCTTTGGGCGTCTGCTAAAGGATGATTCAATAACTCCTGCTTTTCCCTTCCTTCCTGGCTACCCCAGCCCATGTCTTCTCTGCTAATCTGTTCCTCACTCAGGACCAAGCATAAGTCTTTACCCTGCCCCCTGCCTTTTCTTTTCTATCACTCCCAATTCTCTCTCCATCTTTTCTGCAAGTCTGTTTTGATGCATCTCGCTTTCAACCATTCTTTCTACAGCTGTTTTCCCGTCACAGCATCCCGCCTTACTCAACAAAGACATAAAGCCTGTTGTTTCTTGTGACTTTCACCACCATTGACTGGCTACCACAGGTGCTCTGAAATGCACTACACATGTAACTCCACCTTCCCCAGGCTTCACACAAGACTAATACACTCAACATCTTACACCAGGCACCAGGGCTTGTGAAACGTCTCCAGCGTGTGATCTGTGTAGTGCAGGGAGCTCTGTGCTTGGTTGAGGGCACTGCTTTCACTGTCTGGAAATTCTGAATTTTTGAATAAAAACTTTTGCACTAGGCTTCAGGTCCTGCTTATAGTCCTTTGTAAGAAGTGAGAAGTTGAAAAGGCACAAAGAAATCATGTATGTAAATGAACATCCCTCCCACCCTCACTTCAGGCCAGTGCTGTGCAGACAAACCCTTCTGCTTGCGCCACTTGAAACCAAGGGCACAGCGGCCCTTCTGTCACGTTTGCTTAGAGCCCGTAGTTCTTTGAAATGTCTGATCATTGCCTTGACAGTACCGTTAACATTTATTAATTTGAATCAATAGAGGTGATAAATTCAAATTAGTGGCTAATATAAATAATAGGTAGTTTGACCTTTGTAAAAACAATTTTATTTTCAAGTAGAGTACAAATGTTTACTCACAGTTTGTTTTTTTTAAATAATTCTTAGAATTCTAAAGATATTTATATCCATAAATTGGTTCAATGGCCAGTAGTTGAATCCAAATCTCTGTGCCTTGAATTGAATGATAGGTATCTTGGACTCAAACTGTTGGGGCTGGCAGAGACCTGGGACATTGCATGGTCCTCATAGCTGAGAAAACCAGAGCCTAAAGTCTCTCTAACTTCATTTCTGTTTCTGTGTCACACCCATGTGCCACACCAATTGCTTAAGCGTCTTCTTAAATTCACTTTGAACCAAACATTGTTTTTAACAACACCTTGATGTAAAGAATCCTGTTGTGGAATCATGAATTTCATGTGCCATGTTCCCCCCAAGAAACAGAAAAAATCTACATAATTGTATCACGAACCTTGTTCATTCATATACCTCTAAAAGTCCTGCACTCAATCCACACTGAAATGGCTGTGTTTTGCTGTATGGTTGAAGATGTAAATGCTACCCAAATGGCGAAGCAGGACTGGAATCATTTTGGAAAGAAGTCGGGGAGCTCTGACCTCTGCCTTTATGAGAACAAAGGGAGGACTTCCAAACATGGTCTTTTTTTTTAATCATGATTTCCCTTCTATATTCCCACTCTGTGATGATCTGTCTCTCTTTTCCTCATACCTGGTTCCTGCTCGTCCTGTTAGGCCCAGTGTATTAAACCCATGTTGTCCACTTATTGTCTCTGTATCTCCTCCCAATGCCTGTGATATGCATTGTTTTGATGCTGTATCACATACTGCCTTTTTAAAGAGATGCTTGATGTGTGCACAGGCTCCTTAAGAATAAAGACTGTCTTGTCTGTTCTGACGCATTTAACGCAGCACCTCATTCAGTTAACACTTGTGAAGTATTGACAGACTTTTGAAACCAAATATCCCTGGATTGAACTATAGCCGCAGCTTCTGTTATTGGCCTCCAGTACTACTCTGGATACTGCTTGAAGTACTTTTGAGATGATATAATTACTTTCACAGCTCGATCAATACTTCTTTCTTCCGTAAGGTGTGATTTCTGCAGTTTGGGATGACCAGTTGCTGGAATCACCCCGTCACCCACATCACGTGCTGGGTAGATGCCCTTCGAGTACTGAGTGATCGCTGATATCTAGACGAGAAAAGCCAATGAAAGGCTTTGTTGTGAGCTGGCGTGATAATTAAGATGTGGTAATAAAGTTAGTGGGTAGCATAAAAAATTTCATTTTATAGACTCCCTGGATTTTCTTTCCTCAGGTCAAAATCCAGTTTCGATGGTGCCCCTTTAGCAAATGAGAAAAGCGACTGTAAAACAGAAAGCAAGAATGACTCTAAGATTGAAAGGAAAAAGTCCTCATCTTCAAGCCAGGTGATTTGGGAATGAGATGTGTATCGTCTCAGAGGGTGAAAGGGGCATTGATTTGAAGCCAGCTGGGGGAAGGAACGCAAGGGCCAGGACTAACGCAGGTACAGATTTAGAGAACGTTGGATTTCACAGCTGACCTTGCAGCATGTGCTGAATGGTAGTGAGCCCGGCACTGTGGCCCCGAACTCTGACAAGTGCCCAGAGAGCAGGGGCCAACCCAGATTCATGTGCTTGTCTAATAATTAGCCAAGACCAGGAGAACTATGACATCCTTGCACTGCAGTTATAGTCTGATAGGAATCTGTGTGAATAGAAGGCCTCCCAGGTGCACACAGAGGAGGAAAACCTGGAACAGGGTTATAATTCTTCTCTAGAAGAATCTGCTCTGAAATATATTCAGACAGATCTGTGTCATAGAGTATGACATACTGGGGTCAACAGTTTGGGGGTTTTTGACACTTTACTCCTAAAATACTTGAATATATGTCTCCTAACAACTGGAACAAGAAACTGTTGACTCACCCATGAAATTTAACTAATTAGTAAATTTATGAAAATATTACTAAGGTAAAATCCATTTTCAATTTCCACAGTTGTCCCAGTAGTCGATGTCTTTTACAGAGGGTTTTTTTCCCCCTGCTCTCTCGAATCCAATTGAGCCGTGCATTGCATTTGTTTGTCATGTCGTGTTTAATTTAGATCAGTCCCTGCCTTTTTAAAGTTTGATTTTTATCCACATTTTTGAAGATTTCATGGCCCAGGATATTTTTAAATCAAGCATGCAGCCAATACTCACTACAGCCATTAAAAAGAAAATCTCAGCAAAGCTCTGATAGAACACCTAGCTTTTTAACTTTTTACTGGAGTATAGTTGATTTACAGTGTTGTGTTAGTTTCTGCTGAACAGCAATGTGAATCAGCTGTACATATATCCACTTTTTTAGATGCTGTTCCCATAGAGGCCATTACAGAATATTGACTGGAGTTCCCTATGCTATACAGTAGATTCTTATTAGTTATCTGTTTCTTTATAATAGTGTGTATATTATCAATCCTAATCTCCCAATTTATGCCTCCCTCCAACCCCCAAATTTCCCCACTGGTAACCGTAAGTTTGAGAACAACATCTAGCTTTAATCAAAGAGAACTTTCTGGATGCAAGCAAGATGCACTCCAAGAAGCAACATGAGCTAACCTACTTTATGTGAAGTGTTCATCTATGAATTAGTTGTCTTGAGGGGACTGTCTGTCATGTGAATGACCTTTATGACAATACTAGGACCACATTGAGACCACTTCTAGTTTAGATAATAAAATCATCAAGGGCCAATTTGTGGTATCTCTTTTCTGCTCATAAGATTCTGCCTGCTGGATGCTTTTGAAGAATTGTGATCCTGCGGATGGAGGGCCCAGCTCTACCTCTTAGTAGATGTGTGGAGCCAGTTAAGTCCCCAAGTATCCCTGAGGCACAGGTCCCTGGACGGTGCAGTACGGACATCAGTTCCCAGGTTATTGTGGAGCTGGGAGTGGTGTTTTGTGAATGCTCTTTACAGGCTGTAAATTGCTGTCTGTACATGGTTGTCACAACTGGAAACAGGTGCCTTGAAGATGAAGTGATTTGTAGCATTTCAGACTCTTGGGCCTTCTACTGCCCTGGAGAGCTAAATCTTTCATGAGAAATCCTATTTGTCATCTCCCCCAACACTGGTTAAGGAAATACCTTCCCCACAGTAATAGTGATAGGGGCAAACCCAGTAGCAGGTCCTGGAGATGTATCACCCCATTTAAGCCTTAGGACATCCTTCTGACACAGGTACAGAAAACTGAGGCCCAGAGAGGTTAGGTTACTAGGCCAGGATCACATACCACAGAAGAGGTGCAGCCAAGACTTAAACTCAGGGTTATCTGATACAGAGCTTTTAATCACTCCCCTCTTCTGGGAGGACTCACTGGGATCTTGAGTGCCCTGGGATTCACTACCTGGTGAGATTTCTGACAGTTCTGCCTCATTTCTTATTGGGGATACCCTCGTCCAGCCACTTCTGCAGAAGGCTGCCCACCAGCTACTTCATGATTATAGATACAAGTCCAGTCATCAGGTCACTAATCTTGTTGGAAAATGAAACCTTTGTGACCTCCACTGTTTTTCACTGAAGGACTGTGTTGGAGACTATAAGATCAGGGAGAAGGGATTCCTAAAGATTCTTTTTTTAAGAGTCGGGAGGCTTGTTATGTAATTTCAATTGAAGTTACAATTTGTTTGTTTGATAAGAACACTGACAGCAGTGACTTCTGTCTATGTTTTGTCTTCCTTGTAGGACAAAGCAAACATGCACTTCCACAAACTCTTTCTAGATGTCCCCACGGAGGAACCCCTGAGACAAAGTAAGTTCTGACCTGGTTGACTTTGAAAAGATGCTAATTGGTTTGGGGGGGGGTGAAAGAGTCTGGGGACTGAATCACCAAGGGGAATAGGTTTCTGAAAGTCATGATGTGACCGTAATGCTGACCTCACTCAGCTCTCACCCAGCACCTTGAGAGATGAGAGAGTAGAATGACTCCCTCCATGTGATACCAAGTTATCCCAGAGGTTTCCAGAATGTCCTTGCCTTCCATATTTATGCTAACATGCATGGTGATTGGACTGTGCTGAGTTTTAGGATAACAAGACCAAGCAAGACCAGACTGGAAGAAGGCAGCACAGACCTAGGTCAACAGACATGTCGACCCCTGCGTTGTGCAGGGCTCAGCGGTCACACCTAAACACCTGGCCCAGCACGCCATTCAGCACCTGCGTGGCTCCACCTGGGAGCAGAGGGACCCAGGGTTCCATTCCAGCCTCCCTCAGTACACAAATGCTCAGGCAGCGTGCTGGGTTCATGCCATTCTCTCCACACAGGAAGGCGTGGGTCATGTGCTCTTCCCACAAGGAGACCATCTATTTCAAAAGAGTCATTATGACCCTCCCAGGGAAGGAGGGGCAGGCAGCAGTGTCAACATTAGCACAAGGCTGACACACCTTCCCAAACAGAGATTTTGGAAACATCATTCTGAACCCTCATCTGCAATGACAGACTTGCCTTTCTATTTTGATGTTTATTCTGAAGTTTGTAAGACTTGGAATTAAAAAACAAACTCTCATCTCCATAGCTTTATTCCACTAAAGATGACTGAAAAAACAGGGGAGAGATCTTTTCAGCATATGAGTGTGTTATCTCTGCCCATCCCTGAGTCATCAACAGATAGATACGTTTTAAATGGAAATTCTAAATGGTGTTATACCTGTGTATATCTCCAGGTTTTACGTGTGCTCTACAGAAAGAAATATTATACCAAGGGAAGCTCTTTGTATCGGAAAACTGGATTTGTTTTCATTCCAAGGTCTTTGGAAAAGACACTAAGGTTAGTATTTTTTTAAAAACTAACCCTGCATTTTCTTACATATTGTTAATATTGTTAAATGTAGCAATGTTTATAAATATTTGTGTCATTATTATACCTTTATACCAAGTTTCCTTGACTGTAGTCCCAAATACTACAGGTTCTAAATGCCTCTGCATGAGTGCTAAGTATCTTCAGTTGTGTCTGCCTCCTTGTGATTCTATGGACTATAGCCTGCCAGGCTCTTCTGTCCATGGGATTGTCCAGGCAAGAATAATGGAGTAGGTTGCCATGCCCTTCTCTAAGGGATCTTCCCAATCCAGGGATAGAACCCGTGTCTCTTTCATCTCCTGCATTGGCAGGCGGGTTCTTTACTACTAGCGCCACCTGGGAAGCCCCCTAAATGCCTCTAGATGACACAGACTTCTCTTTGTCCCTAAACTGCACTCTTTTCATTCATTTCCTTACATACATATATCCCTCCTAAAATCCTGCCTTAAATCCTTTTTACCAAGATGTCACCAGCACACTCAAAGTTCTTCATATGGAGGGTGTGCTGTAGTTTGTCTCAAAGACATACATTAAACCCAAAACCGTTCTTGAAAAAAAAATTGTACACCATATTCACACAGTTACCATGAGAAATCTAGGCAAACAGGCCTATAAATAAGCTACTTATTACAGCTCCCTTTGTCACTAGTACAAAATGCGCAGGCTTTGGAGCATTTTGGTCCTGGTCTGGGAGTCACAAACCATCTCCAGTAGATGCTGACTGGCATCTTTTCCTTCTCACTAAATACAGATTTGGGGGAGCAGAGTCCCATGATCCCTGAGCCGTTAAGGAGAATAGCCTGAAGGAGCTGGTAGTTCTCCCAGGGCACTGCCTTTTAAAACAAGGCCCTTGGGAGTTTGGTGTAAGAAAGGAAAAAGCTCATTACTTCCCACTGACATTCTTTCCCTTTGAGCTATGACGTCATATCACACAGTTCAGTCAGGCCACCAGATCAAGGAGGCAAAGAAATACCTAGGGTTTGCGTGACCTTGGTGAGTTTTTAATTATTCTGATTCATGATCATGAATAACCAACTTTTATATTCATGAAGTAGCTAATTAAAAACTCTTTTTGTTTTGACTGGTAGGTATGTTTTATTTAAATACTCTCCCTAAAGCTACTGGCATTCTTATAAAGGCCACTTAACAAATATAGTGGAAATTCTTTATGTTGGTATTGAGTCAGCAGACTAGCATCAAACATGTCATTTTTATTGTATAGAGTTGTGTTGAGATAAACATAGTTTAGATTCACAGTATTATTTGAATCAGTATAATGGAAAGCCATATTGAGTAATATCATACCATGTTTCTAGATTTCTGGATTATAAACTCTTGTGCATAGAGTGGATAAGGGGACTGATTTCCAGTTCTGTGGGATGAAGATAATTCTCAGGAATAGCGAAAGCTAACACCTCTGACCAAAGCAGCAGGGATTGAAAACATTAGAGAACAAAGAATTAGCCTTTGTTAAGGGATGAGGAATTCACAAAGCCAGTAAGTGGTTTCAAGCTAATATTATTCTAGTAATGGTTTCAAAATCCCTCCTCTAGCTAAGAAAGAACTGACCAAAAAAAAGGATTGACCTAGTTTTTTTAAGACAAGGACACATGGGATCCAGATTGCTTTTGCCTGTGCTGTATCTAATCTAAGAGGGGTGGGAAGATAAGAACCACAATAGTGACTTGCACATTCCTTCCCCACTGAGGATGGTATCATGGAAACTTGGGCTTCAGTCCTCTGGCAGAATTTGCTCCCTGCCAACAGACCTTGGCCCAGCGCGATCTAGCATGAACTAAAAGGGTCAAACAGTCTGCACCAGGAAGGGAAGTTTTCTAAGCACCGTACCCTGGAGAAATGTTAATAATAAAGTGCAACCTTAATTTAATCAAGACGTTTTCAGCCTGTGTGTATTTTCAGATGCTAGTAAAATTAAAGGCATGTATCACATTCCATCTAAGCTCAAACAGAGAAATGACTCACGCTTTATTTCTCCAGTGTTATCTAGTTGTCATTTTATACTTATGAAGCAGTTGATTGAAAACTCCATCCTAAGGGGGTTGCATGCCTCAGATTCTGCAAAAATCCAAATTTATAGCTCTTGTCACTGTGTATTTGTGTTGCTGCTGAGAATCAAAATTAGACTCATTGTTATATCATCATCTTTCTTGGAAGATACGAAGTTCTTTTTTCCAAAGTAATCCCAGTTTATCACTTCTGAATTATTTCCCCAACTTCAAAAGTTTTGTGGGTAGAGTTCTTTGGTGAAATAGCTTTCTTTCCTCTAGTGTCTAATTTAGATCAGCCCCTGTTTCTTCATAGTCTTCCTATCTGGGGCAGTAGAACAACTCCATGTTGTAAACCTCCGTATGAACACAAATATCCTAAATTTAAGCTTAAGAAAATTACAAGTTCAATTTTGGTCATTCAAGCTGGAAGTACTAGCATAAGGCCTTCCTCCCCACCAGCTGATCTTGTTGATTTCTTTCAGAATATATAAAGCATTTTTACAAAATGTATGTTCACGTGAGTGTGTACACCTGTGGGTGAATTCAGGCCCTTGTTACCAGGAGTGTGGGTGCCTCTGTTTTCGGGGATCAAAGTGATGTGATCCATTTTCCTTTGAGATCAAGCCTGGTTGATCTCATAAAAGTCAACCAGGTTTGATTAAAATATAAGGAACATCTACTATTTGTGGCATCTGGTACATTCTTGTAGTACATTGTATAGAAAAGAACCCCTATTTTGGATCAGATTGATTCAGATTCTATCTTTGTAACTTATTTATGACCCTGAGAAAGTCATATCCTACTCTTTGAGACCCCATGGACTGTAGCCCACCAGACTCCTCTGTCCATGGGAATCTCCAGACAAGAATGCTAGAGTGGGTAGCCATTCCTTTCTCCAGGAGATCTTCCTGACCCAGGGATAGAACCCAGGTCTCCTGCATTGCAGGCAGATTCTTTACAATCTGAGCCACCAGGAAATCCTTGGTGAAAGTCATATACCTCTCTAAACAAACATCCTTATCTCTTAGAGTATCTGTATTATAGGAATGTCATAATTAAATGAAATTGTCATTTAGTGAATAGGTATTGATAATGGTAGCTGCTGTAATTGTCGTTATTTCCTATTGTTTGAATCAGAAAAGAACTTGAGTTCTTTATTTCACCCATCCTCTTTTTTAAGAGACAGATGAGGAAATGAATGACATTTTTATTGACTGCTAGGTATTTTCTATCTGTTATCTCATTTAATCCACAGAAAACCCTGGGAAATAGGTAAGATTGTCTCTATAAGTCAGGGAACTGAGGCCAAGAAAGGACAGCTTACGAGGTTGGATAGGTCATGTAGATAGTAACAGAACTGAGAATTCAGGTCCCAGGATTCTTGTCCCCAAATGCTTTCAGCATTGGGGACAAGTGCTGACCAGTGCTTTCAGCCTCTTCCCCTAAGAACAGAGGAGAGCAAGGTGGTTGGAGATGAGCTCAGAGTGGGTAACCACAAGCACGTAACTGTCTTAGGATCACCTTTAAAATGACTGTACATTTTGCATTCTGTTCCCATGTCTAAAGATAAAGGTTTCCCACCAAACCCTTTCAACAGACTCAGTGATCCACACTTATCCTCCTGCTTTGTAAACACCACATTGAGACCTCGGTGACACACCCATACCACTCTTTAAGATTCCCTTTTCTTCATGGAGACTGAAGAGCCGGCTGTTGGTTTTATCTTTTCTTTTTCCTTTAACATGACGATTTGGAATGCTGCTCTGTGAAGCCTGAACCCATGTTAACTCAATGATTCTGTTTCAGATCTCGATTCCAGCTTTCTCAGTAACCTTGATAAAGAAAACCAAAACTGCCCTCCTGGTGCCAAATGCCCTGATTATAGCGACAGTCACAGACAGGGTGAGTACACAGCAGGCATGGGCACTCTGTCCTGCTCTGGGTTTCATTGCCTTAGGGGCCTCTTGCCAAGTTACCAAGACCCTGAGCCATAAATACCATGAATTGGGAGTTACTCTAGAAGACTACTTTTTAAAATCACAGCCTTCAGACATTTGTATAGTGTGGTTTCCCCTGACAAGGTGATTTATTCTAATCATTGCCTATTTTGAATTTCCTGCTGACTACATTATACTTGCTTGACCAAGGTCCAAAAAATTAAAATTCTTTCCCAACTTCCCTTGCCCTAATGTCTATCAGGTCAGGTCAGGCCAAAGGGATATATTTCATTTCTTTATTATTATTTAAAACACTACCACTGCCTTGTTTACAGGGTGAGGCAGGGTGATAGGAGGAGTCCCTGGGGTGGGGGTGGCCAGTCTCCCCATAACCTCCATTGGTGCCTCTCCAGAGCCAACCTGAAAACATAAAAGTGGGGTCTGCTATTCAGGTACCGCTTCAGGCTCAAATCTAGGGCCCCTCTGATTCCAAGTTGCCTTAACTACCCCTCTTCAATACAGAAGTTCTGGAGTTGTCATTGGCCTTGGGCTACCCCAGGCATGGACAGCCTGAAATATTTGCATGGAGAGAGAGCAGTGTTTCTTTCATCTTGGCAAGAGGGAGGCAGTGGAATGGTTTGGTTACTCATTTTTCACTTGAAATTTTTTTTTTATCTTTTCTCTACTGTTTTTAAGAAAGCATAAAAGCTAATTTCTAACCCTGCTGAATAACTTAAAGAGGGAAGGAAAGAGAAGGGAAGATTAAAAGAAGCTATTCTGATGAGCTAGGAAATATGCTGATAACCTATTGTGAGATTTTTTTTAAAAAGTACTAATGGCTAGCAAACATTAGGTACTTCTTGCCAGACGTACACAAGACATTTTCCTTGTATATACACATTTATTCCACACTGCCATACTATGAGGGGTAGGGACTGTTAAGAAAACAGAAACTAAGAGGCATTAAATAAGCAATTTGCCCAATGTCACCCACTTGGTAAGTAAAGGAGCCAAAATCTGCAACTCAGTCCATCTACTGCCAGGACCCATAATGTTAACTACTTTGGAATACAGTATTTGCTTGGAAAGTATATCAGGTTCTCTCATGGGTGAGCAAGAGAGGGAAGTCACAAACTTTGGAAAGCGAGTATGAAAAGACTGTGGGACTTGAACAGATGGAAAAAGAGTGAGCTTTTTTATTGTTAACATATGGTGGATGGTAAAATCATTTTTCCTTACGTTATTTGTCTCCAAATGACTTGTCTAGCTCTGACTTGACTTCTTTCTCATAACTTACTTATAAGCGTCCACTAGGAAATCTCCATATTTGTACAAGAAAGAATCTGCAAGTGGCTTGAAAAAAACAAATGAGCCTGTTAGAGAGGCTGGGAAATTTTCAATGGAAATCTAGGTCAGAGCAGAGACAGCAGCCCCTTGGGAACTCTTAAATACCTTCTCAAAAGGAGGTGGGGAGGGGAGGGAGAGGGACTTAAAAGAGGACCTGGCAAAAGCACCACGGGCCTTTCTTTACTATTCAGGTCTCTTTCTGTCCAAGCTTGTCTGGGGCACCAAGGTTAGGGTATCAGAGCTTTCCTTTTGCTATACATTTCTCATTTTAAGTTGGGTTTGAGAGTTTTGTTGCTATTGTGGGAGAACATACTCACTTTATTCCAGGAATGGAATAAAAAACTCAATGTGTGGGTGAGAGGAATGAGAGTATAGACTCTAATATAGAATATAGGCTACATTGTTTGAAAAAAATATAGATAGATAAAATGTTTAACTTTTACTTCTAGTCAAGCAGTATCTGTTAATAATTATTATTTTGTTTTTCAGTACATATTTGTCTCCTTACTCTCCAGAGATTCAACTTACAAACTACTGAAATCTGTGTGTGGACATTTAGAAGTGAGTATGACATCTCTGAGCCTCAATTGCTGTCTCTGTTCTGTATTTCTTAGTTTTGGAGTTGATCTGGTTTTTCCATTTTGTAAAAATAATTTTGTTTCAATAATTTCAGAATACAGGTATTGGCAATGGTCCCAGTCCATCTTCTCTTGAAAACAGTTTCCGGGCAGACCGCCCTTCATCTCTGCCTCTGGTGAGTTGCCTACATAATGATCCAAAGGCAAAAGAAAGTGAGAAGGTCACACAGTGGCACTGCTGCTTACAGCATGACCAGGGTGTGGGAGGAACTTAGGATCATGGTGTCTGAGGCAGAGTTGAAGAGGGCATTTCTATCCTGAAGAAGAGAGGACCGTAAGAAGTCACAAACCTATTCAGGAAATTGAAGAGCCATCCTGCAAAAGAAAAGAAACGTGTTAGTGGGCTGACTTGGCCAGTTACAGGTCCACAAAGGTATTCATCAAATCTTGATGTATTTATCAGTGTTGTTTAGAAGGATTCACCAATTTATTTTGGGGAGGGCATGATTCAGTCCCACAAGTCATTGAATGTCTTCTGTGTTCAAGGCACCATGTTAGCATAGTATACCCATAAAGACATCAGGAAAAATCAAAACTAGTTCTTACCTTCAAAGATTTTACAGCTTAGCAGATGATGAGGGATACCCAGGAATAACTGTGGAAGAGGGATAACTAGAAATAACTGTGGAAAAAGAAAGCTGTAATGCCCAAGTGAAAGGCAGAGAGATTCTTTGATTCCTTTAGACTTTTTGACTATAGAGTAAATCTCTAATGGAAAATAGCTCCCCCATTTGTACAAGATTTATACCTGAGATGGTATAATATAAGCCCAAGAAGTCCCAGCCATGTTGTTCAAATGGTTATTCCCGAATTGATGTTTGTTAAATGTTTTAATACCTTTGGTGAAGTGGGATGAGTCCAGAGTTTCAGCATCTACAGATCTTTATTTTTTTTTCAGAGCTGTTAAAAAGTATGGGGATTGAAAACATGTTCCCACAAAAACTTAAACCAGAATGTTCATAGTTGCATTATACATCACAGCCCCAAAGTACAAGCAACCCCAATACCCATCAGCTGATAAATGGACAAATAAAATGTAATATAATCTATCTAGCGAAATATTATTTGACCATAAAAAGGAAGAACTATCAATACATAATACAGCATGGATAAATCTTGAACACATTATTCTAAGGGGAAGAAGGCAGACACAAAAGGCCACATGTTGTATGATTCATTTATATGAAATTTTCAGAATAGACAAATCCATAGGGACAGAAAATGCATTAGTGGTCGCCAGGGGATGAAAGGAGGGAGAAATTGGAGTGACTGATAATGGATAAAGAGTTTCTTTTGGTGGGGAGATGGGCATATCATGAAATAAGACAGGGGTGATGGTTGTACAATGATGTAATTATTCTGAAAACCACTACATTGTATACTTAAACCAGTGAATTTTATCTCAATTGAAAAAAAAAAATCTACCTTAAAAAAACAGTGAGAAATAGGATAAAACACTTATGATTTGGAATCCATCAAACCTGGTTTCAAATCTTGGTTCCAGCCAGCTGAGCTATGCCATCGGGCAAGCTCTTTATTTACTCTGACTCAGTTTCTTTATCTGGTAAAATGCCAAGCTCCTTACATGGCTGTGAAGATTAAGTGCAGTCATGAAATCATATGTATGGAGCTTTGCATACTGCCTGATCTATGGTAGGCATTCCATTAATACTTATTAAATTGAGGAGATTTGAATTGTTTAATTTTCTTTCCCCTATACATTCTTGCATGAAGTTGCAGTGGCTGTTGAAATGATCACGAGATAGCTAATTGAGGGTGAAATGTTGGTAATTTGCTTATAGGCCGTGTTTCCTTTTCTTCACTTGGTCGCTAAATAAATTGTGAAAAGCTCGCCTAATTGTACCTTTGCCTAATCGCTTAATTGTACTTTCACCCGCACATTTTAGTGATACCTCTTGTCTCTTCATTTCTTAAGCACTTTGGGGAACAAGTAGGGTACACAGCAAAAACATCCTGCTTTTTCCCCACTTCATACTCCTGTATAACCCTTCTGTCATTTGGAAGTATGTCACTGACCCTGTTTTGATTTGTTTGAGGGAAGAAAAAAGCTAAAACTTTCCCTTCAGTGTCCAATTAGCTTAGGCCATTTTCCCTTTTCTGTTTCCAATACCTCTTTTAAAACTGTAATTTGAAAGAAACCTTTCTCTGCATTTGTTGTTATTTAGTCACTGAGTCACGTCTGACTCTTTTGTGATCCCACTGCAGCACACCAGGCTTCCCTGTCCTTCACTATCTCCAGGAATTTGCTCAAACTCATGTCCATTGTGTCAATGATGCCATTCAGCCATCTCATCCTCTGTCACTCGCTTCTCCTCCTGCCCTCAATCTTTCCCAGCATCAGGGTCTTTCCCGTTGAGTCAGCTCTTCATATCAGGTGACCAGAATATTGAAGCGTCAGCGTCAGTCCTTCCAATGAATATTCAGGGTTGATTTCCTTAAGGATTGGCCTCATTACAAAATGCAAATGAGACTTCTCCAGCTTTACCTGGAAGCTTTTCTGTCATCAGCATTCCACTTTTTTCCCTAGACATTTCTTGTTTCAAACAAGTTGGCCACTGTGTGTTAATAGAATTCCGATAGCCCAGAAAATCAGTAACCAGATACTCTGATCTGTTGCGGAAACCCAGTAGTGTGGGGTAATCCCTCCTTATTTGTATTTTATAGGTCAGGCCTAAGTGAAAGGCCTGCATGTTGAATAAAGGATAATGGGCCTCTTTGCATTTCATTATTTTCCTTCAGGATTTCAATGATGAATTCTCAGATCTGGATGGAGTGGTACAACAAAGAAGGCAAGACATGGAAGGATACAGTAGTTCTGGATCTCAGACCCCTGAATCTGAGAACTCTCGAGGTCTGGGAGATTTTTGTATCTTTACTGAAACTAATTCTCCACAAAACATCCTTACCTTAACCAAAACATGAAGACAAAACCAACCAATAAACAACACATCTTCTGAGCTCACAGTTAAAACGGGACTCTAAACAAAGGGTAGTTTGAAAGTTCAAGGGAAACGAATTGCCTATGTGGTAAAAGCCCATTTCCCTTTATATGCATGTAACAAATGTCTCTTTGAGAATGCCCTGATGGTCCAGTGGTTAAGGCTCCACAGTTTCACTGCAGAGGGCCCCGGTTCAATCCCTGGTTGGGGAACTAAAATCCCACAAGCTGAGGGTGGCGGGGGGGCGGGGGGTAGAAAAAAATCTCTTAAATAGACATAATATTGGAGTGGTCGAAAGACAGAAACATGCAATATTTCCTTACCTTTTCTTTATAATAATATTAATTATTATGGCCGAATGATCCCCATGAGTCAGTGGGATAAGGACAAACTGCCTTTGTATTGTTTTATTTCTTATTTGCTTAAACACTGAATTTCATCTGCAGACCACTCAACCAGCTTGTGAGAAGATCCATTTATGTTCCCAACCATTATGTATATATTCGGGGACTGATTTGCTTTGTGGTTGATCCTATGTGTATAAACACACTGGAGGGAAAACTTACCCAGCCCTGTTTCATCTTGGTAGATTTCCATGTGACAGAATCCCAGACAGTTCTGAATGTCTCCAAGGGAGAAACAAAACCAACTCGGGCAGATCCCCTTGTGAACAGAGTACCTGAGGGAAAAGCCAAGAGTCTCCCTGGGCATGGTAAGGAATGGATTATGATGGCAGGCGGGTAGTGGGGGCATCTGCTTGTAACTGTGAAAGGTCCTCATGTTTCACTTTATGACTGCCTTTCCTGTTCCCTCTCCTCCCTTCCTGCTGTAGGTCTTTGCATATTAGTTCATTTATTCACTCAACAGACAGTACCCAGTTCTGTGCTTTACTGTAAGGGATACAAAGATGGATAGCTTCTGTAGAGGACCTTTCATCATTCGGAATACATTGAGACCATGATTCAAAAATTACCCATAAAACTAAATTATTTAATTATTATTTACTGATTCTTATCATACCTGGTCACCGGTTGTCCTGGTAGGAGATCAAGGCTGGGGTCTGTATTGTTCACCAGTCACTCACTCTATCCCAAGGCTTGGCATAGAGAAGGCTCTCAACAAATACGTATTGAATGAAACATGTGGGAAGGAATTGTAACGACTGATTGAAATGAAAACTGGAAGGCTTCAGATAGTATTTTCTCTGATTCCTATTGCCTGGAAATAATTCTGTCCCTCAAGTACTTCTTCCCTATAGGGATACTGCTGCATGAAGGAGATATGTTATCACTTTAAAACATATGTTTTGTTTTCCATTCAGCAGGTCAGTCAGAAACCACTGGACTCATACCCAGAGTAAAGTCTGAGAAGTGGCCAACTCTCCACCATATTCTTATATTCTATGCAGTTGTGTAAGTAAATGTATTTACTGTGAATGGACTTAAGACTTGTATTTTACTGTTAATGACTTAAGAAAATGATTCATTTCACTAAAGGAAAAATCTCTTCATGTTGTCAAGAGCCATGAATCTCTAATGTCTCTAGTGTGACCCAGATCTTTGGGGGGGGGGGGGAGGGAGGCAATTTTCATCTCCTACTTCAACATTTTTTTTCCTTAAACTTAGGTCACATTTTCATGTTCATCCCTTTTTATTTAAATAAATAGTGGAGGAAAATTTACAGAACCAGAAGCAGCCTGCAGATCGCTTCCCTTCTGTGGCCATCGTTGCAGCGCCAGTGGCCAGAATGAAGTTCAGTCCCTTTGTGACTTCTGACCGAAGCAAGAATCGAAAAAGGCATTTCGACGCGCCTTCCCACATTTGCAGGAAAATTATGTCTTCTTCTTTTTCTAAAGAGCTAAGACATAAGTGCAACGTTCGACCCATGCCCATCCGAAAGGATGATGAAGTTCAGGTTGTATGAGGGCACTACAGAGGGCAGCAGATTGGCAGAGTAGCCCAGGTTTACAGGAAGAAATACGGCATCGACACTGAACGAGTGCAGCGGGAGAAGGCTAACGGCACAGCTGTCCGTGTGGGCATTCACCCCACCACGGTGGTTACCACCAGACTAAAACTGGACAAAGACCACAAAAAGATCCTCGGACGTAAAGCCAAATCTCGCCAAGTAGGAAAGGAAAAGGGCAAATATAAGGAAGAAACAATTGAGAAGATGCAGGAATAAAGTCATCTTGNGAATACTGCTCAGCCATGAAAAAGAATGAAATAATGCCATTTGCAGCAGCATGGATGTAACTAGAGATTATCATATTAAGTAAGTCAGAGAAAGACAAATATCATACTGATACCATTTATATGCAGAATCTAAAATATGACACAAATGAACCTATCTGTGAAATAGAAACAGACTCCTGGACACAGAACAGACTGGTAGTTTCTAAGAGAGAGAGGGTTGGGGGGATGAAGTGGGAGGTTGGGGTTAGCAGATGCAAATTATATACAGTTATAAAATATAATGTATAGGAGAAACAACCAAGTCCTACTGTATGGGACAGAGAACTATATTCAGTATCCTATGATAAACCACAGGATAATAGAAAAGAATGTTTAAAAAATGGAAAATATTTTAAAAGAATCTTAAAAAATAGTATTAAAGAATGTTTCTAAAAATATGAATATATGTATAACAGTCACTTTGCTATATAGCAGTAATTAGCACAACACTGTAAATCAACTGTATTTCAATTTTTAGAAAAGTAATCCCCTTCAGTAAAAACTTAGGCGTTGACTTTTTTAACTTCCCCCTCAGCTTCCACTCTAACCAGTTGTTCTTCTGAAAATAGCCTGATCCAGTTCTAGGCGGTTCCTCACAACCGAGGAGGATGTGCCTGGTTTGGTTTTTAGATAAAGCAGGGAATTTGTGAGTCACAAGACCAGACACTTGCTGGCCAGGACTCCGATAGTACCTGGTAGGAGGAGGAGCCCCACCTTGACAATCTACATTGGCTGGCTTTGAGTAAGACTCCTGAATGGCCTTTATTTATCAATTAAGGAACTAGAGAAGTTTAATATCCTAGTTCTAAAGTTTGGTCCAAGCATCAGTCTGTTGAAAAAAAGGATGACCTTTTTAAAGTCTCTGTACCCAAGTTATTTTGGTAAATACCTTGCCTCAAATGTACAGGGTTTACATTTATTGCTTTAGGAACATCAATCAGGTCCTGGCCATTAACCTACTGATAATTTCTCTTTTATCCCTTTCCAGTGTCTGTGCACTGATCATCTCGACCTTCTACATGAGATACAGAATTAATACTCTGGAGGAGCAGCTGGGGTCACTAACCTCCACTGTGGACACCCATCAGACTGAGTAAGACAGTCCCTCCAGTGCTGTCTTCTGCTTGCTTTTCACATTAGTGTAATGTTTGACCTGAGCATGGCATCCTTCTGGCAAGCATTAATTGAGGATACATTCTGTATGAGACATTTTGCTAAGTATGCCTATAGAAAATAAAGAGGTAGGTGGGCCCTGGAGAGAAAAATGAATGACCTGATGCTGCATGTTTTCGAGTTGCTATACTGTTGGCAGTGAGAAGGCAAGACACAAGCCTAATTTTACATTATCTTGTTCTCTCATCCTAAGCTCCGTTGTGACCTTAGCCCATTTATTAAAATATTCAAGTTTATCTTCGTAAAATGGCAGTGAGTCAAGTGATTCATAAAAAAAGAAGCAATTCAAGAAACAGCACATTTCATCATTTATAGCTCTTTATAGGAACTCACTTATTTACAAAACTCTTGACCACTATAAGATCTATGTGACCAGTAATTAGCTGAATGTGTCTGTAAAGATTTTCTACCACAGTATTTTTAATAGGCCCCAACTAATTAAATCTGTTGACACAGGGGTCTTTCCTATAAACCCATTTACGTGAGGATTTTGACACATTCCCTAAAAAGTAAAATAAAGCATACTGCTAGCTGTAGTTTTAAAAGTAGAGATATTTCTTTATAGCATATGTACCATGTGCTAGAGACACTGTTGTAATTCATAGTTTCACACACCAACAATGTTCTCTCATTATGTCTTCACCATAACCCTGTAAGATAGGTGTTATTCCCTCCTTTACAGATGAGAAAACTGAGACTGAGAGAAATAGTTTGAAAAAAAAAAAAAACAAACAGAATCAGGATTCAGGTCTTTATGACCATAGAAACTTAGTGTACCAGTGGTTCCTTGCATGTAAGGAATAGCCGAGAAGTGAGTCAGTGTATTTTCATTGTGTATCAGAATCATCTGGACAGCTTATCAACATAGACTGCAGGGCGCATTCTCCAAGCTTCTGGTGCTGGTCTGGGGTCTACACTTTAAGAACTATTATGCTATACCATTCTGGGGCCTTTCTTGACAGTTACCTAAAAGTTTTGTTCTATGGCTTATGTGTATGCTGTTACACAGATTATTTTTTTACCATGAACATATTTGAACCAATAATAAGAAGTCTAATGAATGGTTTGGGATAGATTTATACCCTGCCCTTACTCTCTCCCATGTTGTTCAGAATGTTAATAATACACCTAGAGCTAGGAGGTGAGTCTACATTACTGTAAACTATTAATATTAGTTCACTATCATATAAGTGATATAAGTGATTTTATTAGGGAAATGTACCTCCTGTCCTGTTATCATTTAATTAACTTGGTGACAATGAGAGGGAAATTCTATTAATGAAAGTCAAATGGAATATTTACTCTACTATTTAGGTAGTCAACCCAAGAGGAGGTAACAATCTGAAAAACAATCATTTAAAAGGAAAATCACAGAGGTCACATATGACATGAGGTCAGGGAACATCTATGATGGGAAAGTCTGTTAATAGAGTAATCTAACAGAACCTGAATTTCCTCTTATCTTACTTCATCCAGGGTCATCCATCCATGCTGCCCAGGTAGCTAAATCCACACTTGTAATCTGCTTTCGTTGGTACAGAACCATTTTTTTAATATATACATTGTGCTAGCTTTGTTAGTGGGTCCACATCCTGTGGACTGTCAGAATTTCACGTGGATAAATCAGTACCTTGAGTCTCAGATCCCTCGTTTAGAAGCTGAAAGATTTCACCAGGTACGTCCTTGGTGGTCCAGTGGCTAACATTCCACACTCCCAATGCAGGGGACTGGATTCGGCCCCTAGTCAAGGAACTAGATCCCACATGCTGCAACCAAGAACAGTGCAGCCAAATAAATAAATAATAATTTTTTTTTAAAGATTTCAACTCAGTTTCCTTTCTGGGCTATAAGACTTTGATACTATGGATCAAGGTTAAAGAAAAAACTGTTTCACCTCTGCTCAATGAAAAACATGTTTGCTTTCTTAACATTTAGATAATCATCAATAAGTTACCAAGTATCTATGGCTCAAAAGTGGGTCCTATGTAAAATAAATTAGACCAGTTAATGCCATCTAAAAACTTCACAGCTTATAACAAGCACATGAAAAGATGCTCAATATCACACATTATTAGAGAAATGCAAATCAGAACTACAATGAGCTATCACCTGGCACCAGTCAGAATGGCCATCATCAAAAAGTTTACAAACAATAAATGGTGGAGAGGGTGTGGAGAAGAGGGAACACTCTTGTGCTGTTGGTGGGAATGTAAATTGATACAGCCACTATGGAAGATGGTATGAAGATTCCTTAAAACACTAGGAATAAAACCACCACATGACCCAGCAATCCCACTCATAGGCATATACCCTGAGGAAACCAAAACTGAAAAGGACACATGCATCCCATTGTTCACTGCAGCACTATTTACCATAGCTAGAACATAGAAGCAATGTAGATGTCCACAGACAGATGAATGGATGAAGAAATTGTGGTACATATACACAATGGAATATTACACAGCCATAAAAAGGAATGCATTTGAGTCAGTTCTGATGAGATGGATGAACCCAGAACCTATTATACAGAGTGAAGTGAGTCAAAAAATAGAAAGATAAATATTGTATTCTAGTGCATTTATAACACTTAGAACTGGACATGGAAAGACAGACTGCTTCCAAATAGGGAAAGGAGTACCTCAAGGCTGTATATTGTCACCCTGCTTATTTAACTTATATGCAGAGTACATCATGAGAAACGCTTGGCTCGATGAAGCACAACCTGGAATCAAGACTGCCAGGAGAAATATCAATAACCTCAGATATGCAGATGACACCACCCTCTGGCAGAAAGCAAAGGAGAACTAAACAGAATCTCAATGAAAGTGAAAGAGGAGAGTGAAAAAGTTGACTTAAAACTCAACATTCAGGAAACTAAGATCACAGCATCTGGTCCCATCGCTTCATGGCAAATAGATGGGGAAACAGTGGAAACAGTGACAGACTTTATTTTTTTGGGCTACAAAATCACCGCAGATGGTGACTGCAGCCATGAAATTAAAAGACGTTTGCTCCTTGGAAGAAAAGCTATGACCAACCTAGACAGCATATTAAAAAGCAGAGACATTACTT